CCCGCCCTATTTTGCTCTGTGCTCCAATAACAGTTGAGCAAGGCTCAGTCAGAACCTCAACTTCCTCCTTTCCTGTACTTAGATATGCTATGTGCTAGGCTACTCTGTGTTGAAAGGGCAACCACAATTGTTAGCAAAACTAACTAGCTAACTAACAATTGATGTAAACTAGCTAGCTCCAAATAATATAACTTGCATTTTGCTAACATTAGCTAGCTAACTTAAGATGTGACTTATTCTGATTAGCTGTACCATTATAACCACTGACAGGTGAAGTGACACTGATTATCTGGTTATCATGGCTCCTGTCAGTGGGTGGGATATATCAGACAGCAGGTGAACATTTTGTCCTCAGAGTTGATGTTAGAAGCAGGAAAAATGGGCAAAGTGGGACTTTGACAAGGGCCACATTGTGATGGCTAGACGACTGGGTCAGAGCATCTCCAAACCTGCAGCTCTTGTGGGGTGTTCCTGGTCTACTGCATCAAAAGTGCTTCAAGGAAGGAAAAGAACCGGAGACAGGGTCATGGGTGGCCACGGCTAACTGATGCACGTTGGGAGCGAAGGCTGCCTTAGTGGTCCGATCCAAGAGACCACAATCTTGTCCCTTCCAGCCCTGCCATATGCACTGGTTCAAGGTCATGACCAGGCAGAATCTCCACTGCAGGGGCCCTTTCTTAGTGGTGGCAATGTTATGTAGAACACAACATACCACTGTCAATGTTGCTGGCCCTGTCAGGTTCAACCCTCTGGCTACGAAGACACTGAAACCTCCCCTTCAGTTGCCCAAAGGTCATTTCAATTCAAGCCCTTTTCCTGACTGTGTGGTAGCGGGTCTGTGGCCTTGGGGCTGGGGCTGGGGCTGGGGCTGGGAATGGGGTCATAAAAAATGGTGTCAGTCTGTTTGAGGTGCAGTGGTGAAAAAAATAAAAAGGGCACCAGAGCGCAGGAAGTTCTGGTGCATTTATGGTGAAACAGTTTAGCCAGGGGTAGGATTAACACCCAAGAGGGCACTTTTGTTGGATTTCTTTGAACATGTGGGCGTTGCATATGCTGTGTAACTCCTTCCTGTTCATAAATTCTCCCTCATTAGGACCAAATGGCCCATGAGCAGTTTCTTGGGGTTAGGTTGCCTTGCTCAAGGGCACCTCGGCAGTGCACAGGAGGTGAAACTTTCCAGCTACCAGTCCACACTCCATATTGTGGTCTGTGGGATAGCCAAGTCCCTACACACTACCGTTTGCAAAAAAAACACAGTGCAATATTCAAAGTCTGACAGTCTGTGAACTTGAGCATTATTGCAACGTGTTGTACATTTTCGGTTGTAGATTGTTTAGGTAAATTACACCCTCACGGCGGGAACAGTACCTTTCCAGCCAAAAACCTTCTGGATAGGCCAGCGGAAATACTCTCCTGACAATTATTGCACCGAGATCGATCGGTAACTCTCTTAAGAATGGATCGGCCATGGTTGAAATGACTTTCTGTGTTGAGGAGGATGATCGAGATAACTGTCAATAAGCCTGCTCTTTTGCAGGCTTGGGCTTAAGGACTTGTTGCTCTGACAATAGCTCCAGATATAAATGACACCAGAGGAACCAAAAAATCCAGACTCAGGTCAAATTGTTACCAGTCGGGGTGTTTGGTAGCTCACCTGGTAGAGCTGTTATCCCATGTACTGTTCCATGTCTTCAGCTGTCCTATCAATAAAGCAAAAAGCCCCCAAAATATATAAAAATAAAAATGATATATGAAAAACAAAAACAAATGGTTAACAGTCTAATCTGGATAACTTCCACGTCTGACAACTGACTCTGATGGACATAAAACAACCTTTTTTGTTTGCCTGCAAAGTCCTTGTTGCATAACAACAACGGGTGCCTGAAGCCTAAATGCTTCATATGGAGATCAGAAACAACTCTTTTATATATTTTATGTATATTTTCTGATCTGCCTCCTTTAGGGAAATAGTTTGGTATGTTAAACTCTGCACAGACAGCATTCAAACAGCACACTGTAGGAACAAGAAGAAACACTGATGTTTAACTGGAGGAGGCTTTAAGCAACAAAAACTATTTGGTTAAGGTCAGGGGAAGATTGCCATTACAGTTAACAGAAATGATGGCTACTGGTTAGAGAAACTGCAGCCTGTTGTGTCACTTGTTTTGTCTCCTAGACAAGATTTATTTTGACTGTATAATATCATGATGCTACTTCTTGCTCACAACCACAAGGTGTCACTTGTCAGGAAAATGGAGAAAGGTTGTAGTCAGACTAACAATGTTTTTAGCAATGAGCTAAAAACAGTGGAAAGCTACACAGAGCAGAAATGTCAACCTAACCAGTGTCAAATAGATTTGGCATGCAGAGTATACTGCACAGTGTTTCCGCTTTGTTCCCAGGTGTAATACTGTATCGCTTTGGTTTCAAGACAATACAGTACGCAGCATGTGCGTCCCTGGCTGAATTAGATATCATAGTAACTTTATCCTGATGACAACAGGTGTGCTATTGAAATGAAGTGTCCCGTTAAGGAGGATGGGTGAGGTGGGTAGGCAGGTGATGATAATGTGGTGAAAGAAGGAAGGACCCCAATGGTCAGGTGATGATTCAGCTCTATTTACAAAACACCAGCAGTTATTATACTGTCAAAGATAGAGGTGACTCAGCATCACTCTTACACAGACTCATGTGTTGTTACTTAATTGGCTTATGTTTTATTTTACAGGTATTCATGTATTTATGTTCCTGCCATCTTTATTATTACACCATTTGTGTTAACAAATGCATGTGGGGCGCCCAGGTAGCTCACCTGGTAGAGCTAGAAGCCCCATGTACCAAGACTGAGTCCTTGCTGCAGCGGCTTCAGGGTTCGAATCTGACTTTTGGTAAATGACTTGTATAGCGCCTTTCTAGTCTTCCGACCACTCAAAGCACTTTTACACTATATAGCATATTCACCCTTTCACACACATTCACTTAGTGATGGCAAAGCCCATCGAACAGAAACTAACTCATTCATACACATTCACACAGGTTCAGTATCTTGCTCAAGCATACTTCGACATGTGGCTGGAGGAGCCGGGGATCGAACCAACAACCTTTCGATTAGTGGATGACCCACTCTTCCTCTGAGCCACAGCTGCACTTTTCTGGGTGTTGTCCCCTCTCTCTGTCCCCCCTTTCCTGTCTATCTTCAGCTATCATTATCAACAGGCAAAAAATACTTAAAAAGCAAAACATGTAATCTGTTCTGCTGTATTTACTTGACACATTATCTTTAACTGCTGTCTGCTGTATTGTAGCACTGCAAAACCTCTCATGGTGTGTGACTGTAACACTGGAGATCACTGTTACACATCCTGTCTTTTACTAAAAGTTAGAACCCGACCGATATGGGAATTTTGAGACCATAACAGATTCTGAAGAAGAATTCACCAATTACTAATATAGCGGTTGATAAAGTAAAGTTTTGAGCTTTCAGATTTCAATGTGGATTTTAAAATAATATGACTGCACAGGTACTCTCTCTGTACTTTCTTAGACAAATAACTTTATTATTGAATATTTAAGTTCAATATTCTTTAACATATTAAATAATTTATTGTCAACCAGTTCTAGCTGACGTTGCTGAGAGCTGCTTCTTCTCTCTTACTCGGTGCTGCTTGCCATAGCATTGTAAATCACAGCGCACTCTGCTGGATAAACTTTGCAGTGACACAATTTCTTCTGCAGCTACAGTCTACACTATAAAACCAGATAAGTTAATTTAACTCAAAATATTGTTGAAACTGATTATGTTGAGAATTTTAAGTAAAACTAACTCAATTTTGTAAGTTAAAAAAAATCTTGATCAAGCAGTAATTTTAAGTGACACTGACTGAATTTTGTAACTTTTATTTGTACTGTAAAAAACAAAATACCTAGCAAAAAGTTCTTACTTAAATTTTTTTTTTAATTTACAAAACTGTCACTCAAAATTACAAGCAAGAATCATTTTAACTTAAAAAAAGAGTTGTTGTTACTTATGATCAGTTGTAACCTTTTTTAGTTAAAAGGACTTTACTGTGTACAGCAGTGTGTCTCAAACATTTACCACCTGCGAAAATATCAGGCTCTCCAAGTACATTATGACCGATGTGAAATACAGTACTGTAGGCCAACCATATTCAGCTACAGACAGTTCACAGATTTATTGCTGGCTGTTGTTGAATCCTGAACCCGTTCAAGAACCAGAGCTGGTTTGGTGGAAAAGGGGTCCTCCTGGTCCACACTTATCTTCCCGATAGTTCCCGTTTGAAGCCACAATTGCAGTGTTTTTGAACCATTCATTTTACTTCCGCTCACTATCTTACCAACACATTTTAGCTCATAACTAATTACTGACTGAGGTCTACATGCATGAATGTGACTACACAGCAGATTGATATATGAACAAAATATTACAGCAAATGCAAAAGAATCTCATAGTATTTTTATTTGACATTTTGTAGTATTTTTATATTATAACATGTTTCTAATTTATTCAATTAAAAAATATATTTCAGAGATTCCTACACATACCACTACAGTCAGCTTCAAGAAGTACATCTTGTTTCGAGATGTTCTAATGTAAGCCCTGGTGTACCTGAACTGGATGGATGGTTTTACTACCTTGTGTCAGGAAAATGATAGAAGACATGCAGCTTTAACCACAGCTGCCAATGTCACATCTGGAAAGCTCACAAATAGTGAGCAGACTGAAAACACTCCAGATAAACTGTTACACTGCCAAACTGCCATGCGCACATCATGGGAACTCCTATTATTTAATAAGAACCTGAAGGGCACTGAAGCTTACATACAGCCACACGTGTGTGTGTGTGTGTGTGTGTGTGTGTGTGTGTGTGTGTGTGTGTGTGTGTGTGTGTGTGTGTGTGTCTCGACCCCGCTTACGAGTCTGTGTACGTCTTTAAATGTGGCGTGCTGGTGCTGAGTAGAGGGCGGACCCGAGTTGCGCGTGCGTGCGCGTTGCGTGTGTGTGTGTGTGTGTGTGTGCGTGTGTTTGTGCGCGCGCGTGCGCCTCTTGCCTGCAGCCGCTGCCAGTCGCACCGAGCTAACAGCGGTTTTTGTACGTATGATGCACCGTGGTCGACGCACCTGTGAGGAGCAATAAACCCAGCCCCGGTACCGCCTGGTGCCCGCCGCCCCGCCGCCCCGCACCAGCACCGTCAGCAGCGGGAACACTGCTGCTGCTCACACCGACCTGGATTTTAAAAAGACTACGGCTTTGTGGAGTTTACGGCTGGATTTTAGCAGTTGGATACTCTGGCTGCTGTTTAACTAAGGTCAGTAGCGTCGTCTTTTCACTCCAACCTGTTCATGTTGCCTGTATTCGCTCCACCGTTCACTGTGTCGGGGGCAGAGAGAGGAGTCGCTTCCACAGGAGGTATGAGGCTGGAGTTTCGACTCCTGGCGCACAGGTATCTCGGAACTTGCCACTTTTCCAGGACTTTTTCCAGTTGGTGCGCACCGGGAACGCAGATTATGGCGAGCCGGAGCAGGTGCGAGTCTCCTTGAGGGAACGGGAGGCGTTTGTGGGATTCAAAAACGGGAATTTCTGCCATGTTGGCCTCTAAATTCCCCGGTGGAACAGAGACACCGTGACAGGCGGGTATACAATTACACAGGTCCTCTCCGCTCCCCTGAGGCGATGTTTATATGAATTATAAATGTCATTTTTTTTTTATCACATATCTTACAAATACAGCCGAGTGCCGTTTAAAGCATTCCTTCGCTTCAAATCAGCCCCCAAAAAACGGCTTAAACCGCGACCCGCACGATTTCCTTCACCTTGTTTTTCGGGTGATGAATAATAAACAGGGTGTACGCCAGGTGTCCGGTGTCCGCGCATTGTTCTCGTCTGCAGCTTCATGTTAAAATGTCAAACAAATGCGCCCTGGCACAGCGCGCACGTCCCCCTCCGCCAACCCCGCTCTTTAAATATAGATGCATATTTATTTGTAACCGGAGCGTTCGGCCGTTGACAGCAGTTTGATACATGACCTTCCGCCTTAACGGAGATGGACAGCACGCGCCAGCAGGCTGCACACTTCCTTGCGATGACAATAACCATCACATTCCTCCATTATCCCGCTCTCCTTCCCGCGTTTAGAACCCCAGCATCCAGCTGCTCTCTCTCTCTCTCTCACACACACACACACACACACACACACACTGGCAGATTAATCAAACGGATGCTACGGTTGTTTTTTTTTTTTTGTTTTTGTTTTGTTGTTTTCCAGAAATGCCATGACGCTACAAAAATCAGGCATTTAGCGTTTTCTTTTAAAATTAGAATTCTCTCAAGATATCGAAATAAATGGAATAAATCCGTTTGGTTGTTAAAATGTGAGAATGATTATTCATGGAGGGAAAAATAAAATAAATGTTAGTGATTGGATGGCTGTGGTGATTTGGATTATTTGGACTCCCTGGTGGATCAAATGGCGTCCGCAGGGAGGTTCACTGAAATGTGACTGCTCTGCTCCCAATAAACTGCATTTCATGCTGCACGTTGAGCTGACAACTTTTTTTTTCTCCCCGCCCCCCCCTTTTCCATCAATCCACATTTGGAGGGAAAAAAAGAGCCACAGTCTGGGGCCTGCTGTCGTAGATAGATCAGCCTCAAATCCATTTCCAGGCTGGAATTTTAATTGAAACGAGCCTTCAAGTTTGTCACTCTTTTTCTTTTTTTTTTTTTTTTTTTCTTTCCACTGCGACGAATGCATGATGTCCCATTTCTGCTGCACATTTATCAGCTTTCATTGCAGGAGAAAGAATACGAGGCCTTGTGCAGTGCGCCATAAAAATCCACCACCTGCCGCAAAACACATCCAGGCCTCAGTCTGATGTCTGTGCGCCTCCTGTAGCACCTGAAGCTGGAGACATTGTAAGTGCAACCTTAAATTGCTGCCCATTGATAAAGGTGTTTTTATTCAGGTCTGCAGCGCACATTTCCGATGTGTCGGATTTTTAGAGTTAATAGGATTAGATGATTCTTGCGTTTATGCGGGGGAATTCCTAATCAGGCTTTTTTTTTTTTTTTTTTTCCCAAAGCGGGCTCCGGAATGGGCGTGACCCAGCAGCCTCAGAATGCGTCTGTCCTTTTCCCCGCAAAGGGCCCAAAGGTGCTCCATCACCTACTCCCGCACTGCTCCCGCACTCTTTAAATGACATATGTTGTGAGAAAGAAACGATTTCGTCCTTTAGATTGATCCAAAATATTACTATGATTTTTTTAGCACCTCCTTTTCAGTAGAAGGTGTTTGCTGCGTGCCGACAGTGAGTGATCCAGTGGGAGTATGTGCTCACTATTGACAGCTCCTCGGCTGTACAGTGGATAAAGATGACGTTATTTTTTTTTACACATAAATATGCGTATTTTCTGCAAAATATGACCCCCCCCCCCCTCTCTCGATTTAATTTTCCTTCTCGTTTCCTTTTTACGGCTGGGTGGGGGGTTGTCGGGGGGGGGGGTAGGATGGAGGCTGTTTTGGGTAATTTGGCTGTCCTGCTTTTTTTTTGGTGTTCTGGTTGGCAGCCGATTAACTGCGCTGACAAATCAGGCGCAAAAAAAGCCAAGGGCTCTCAAGGTAACACTAATCCCTCTGGGCGGGGACAGCCACATATTACGCAGGGTTTTTACAGAATGCTCTTTTTTTTCCTTTCATTTGGTGCTTTTGCTGCGTTCAGACGGTCGGTTGCCCCCCCCCCCCCTTCTTTATTCTCTTATTTGTTAAAGGTGCAATAGTGTGTGGCACTGCTGGGCCTACACAGTGTCTATTATATCTGTAGGTGTCTTTATTTAAATAGAAAATAGAAATGAGAGTGGTTCGGGTGGATCCAGGCCTAAATACGCACAGACATGGAACATCTTCCGCCGTTTAAATGCTGCTGATGGACCAATCACAGTCCAGATTAAAACCAACAAATAACAGGAGAATAAATGAAATGAAGCCATCGCCACACTGATAACGGCGCTGTGATGTTACATAAACTGCTGCTGCTGTTTGTGGGTGTGTATCCACGCCTTTGGTCGCTGGCGTGCACGTGTAATTTTTTTTTTTTTCATTTGTGCACGTGTGTACAGACATCCGCGCGCCATGTACGGTTCATTTCATGCCGGTAATGTGTGTGTGTGTGTCTGTGTCTGTGCGCGTGCTTGCAGGCGTTTGTGGGGTGCTGGGTGCTCTCTAACTGGGTGATGTAATGCCGTGAAGGGTGCTGCAGCAGAACCACAGAGCCCAGAGAAGGCGTGTCCTGCCTGCAGAGGAGCTGGATAACAACACGGTGCCCACGCTGCACCCGCCGCCAAAATAACACACAACACACACACACACACAGTCCCTCCCTACCTCATCTTCCCTTTTTCCTCCTTTTTTAATTTAATTTTTTTTTAACTTACCTGCATTTTATTAGTCTGTTTTTATTTCTGTCTGTTTCATCTGAGCAACGTGAGCAGCTGTGGGACATAGAATGAGGCCTGATTTACAAATGATAATTCTGCAAGGGATAATTCGCCTGTTTAAATTTTATTGAAGGGTTTCTTCAAATCAGCAGCTGGATTTTAAATTGAAAACTCTGCAGTGTCTATGTCCCTCTGCTGATGCATGTCACCCTGTCTTTTAAAATCTTTGAGTGAGGATGGCGAGAAGGGAGAGACAGTGCCTCGTCCCCTCTGTGCTGTGTTAAAAACCAAAAGCGTTAATGTGAATATATTGGTTTCCATTAAAAAGATAGAACAGAACTACTGATATTAAATACGTTCTGCGTAATCCAGTCTACCTTTAGATCATTGCTCTGTTCTGCAACAGTGCAGAGGATTTCACTTGCTGGGGAGATTTCACCCTGACACCAAGTGGTATATGAAGTCCTTTTTAGTGTTGTGCCGTATGATGATGTATAATGACACCATATCACTTTGTAAATATGAACTATACTGCTGTATCTCTTAATTATCTGTTGAAGTTAAGGCTGCAGCTAATGATTATTGTCATTATGAATTAACAGGGGCGAATCTAGAGGAGTGGCATAGGGTGGTACCACTAAAAACTCCCAGTCACCGCAGTTTAGTGTCAGATTTAACAAATTAATTTAGATTAATTTTAAAAAGAACATGTTAACAAATTAATTTCATGATCTATTATGGCTACATTTTAGACTAAGTTCACTAAAAAAATACGTATTTGGAAAAATGTCTAAAGATTTGGAAATAAAACAATTTATTGGTTTCCAGTGCCAACTTTTAGATATTTCTATTCAATGCATTACTAATGTGCCACAATAATGTAATGTTTGTGATTAAATCAACAAATATTTCTTAAAGTCTTCATGCCACCCTCTGGACACCCCATGAACATTTCTGTAGATCCGCCCCTGTTCATTAATCTGTCCATCATTTTCTTAATCCATTAGTTGATTGGGCTGTAAAATGTCAAATTGTGAAAAATGTTGGTCAGTGTTTCCCAAAGGTGACGTCCTCAAATGTCTTGTTTTGTGCAAAACTGAAAAATATTCAGAGGACTAAAGAGAGCAGAACATATTCCCAACAGAGAAAGTGAAATCAGAGAATTTTTTTAGAAAATGACTCAAAACAATTAATCGATTATCAAAATAGTTCTAGTGATTAATTGAATAGCTGACAACAGACGAGATAATTTTTATAATCTTTGCATCATGATATGTCACTGGCCAAAAACAGACATTCCTGTCAGTTATTTGTCTGTGAGTGGTGTAGCTCAATAGCTTTTCCAGCGATGACAGTGTACAGTACACATACAGCATATTGATAGTAATTGTACATACAGTATACAGGTTCTTTAGATGAAATAAGCCCGGAGAGATAGATATCAGCCCAAGATGGTGCCTAACTGCTCTTCCTAGAAAGGTCTGTGGCTGATTTGAAGTGTGCGTTTGCAGCGTGATGAAGAGGGAAGAGGAAGAGTAGTGTCAGGGTGTTTCATGAGATGCATGAGTGGGAGTGGATGAGGTGGAACATCGCTGCCTCTGTCCCCCCCCCCCCACACCCCCTCCCTCTCTCTCTGTTTCCACTCATCCTTCCCTCTGCTGTCTCTCCTCCTCTCCCCTCCGCTGTCAGGTTGCATGTCCTGGTCAAATGATTTCGGAGTGTACCACTGCAGCAGTGAAGACGGGCAAAAGAAAATGGCACCTCTTTGAATGCACTGATGCGGCAGCGTCAGTGTGCATATTTGGAAGGCCTCACGCAGAGCAATAGAGCCAATCAAAAAAAAAAAAATAGCAGCCTGTCTTTTGAGATATTATCTGC